TGTAAATAAACAACCCGCATATATATATATATATATATGTATATGTGTGTGTGTGTGTGTGTATGTCTGCGTCTGTTGGTAAGTATATAGCTAATAAGCATACTTCAACATGTAAATACATAAACAAACGTATAGATTGATTTTTGTTTATATATATATATATTATATATACTACATGTCTGTGTACATTTGTACGTGTATGTACGCGTTCTGCATTTTTGTTGTTTGTGTACGGATACAAGAACATAAATACAGATACAGATTTCGATATTTTCATTTCTATATTCATATTTTTTTCATCGTTGTTTGCTCGATATTTATTCTCTATGGATCATTTTTCCCGTTAAAATGCCTGTATATATACACTTAATAATCATTTTGTACGTATTTTTGTTCAAGGGTGTTAATCTTATGAGGCATGATTGTGAGATCCTAGGCTCTTGAACTACTAGTGTGAATGCATTTCAGTCAACGTCTCCGTTTTAACCACAACCTCTGTCTTATACCCTGATCGATAGCACGAATCAAGCTGGAACAACTGTGGAAAAGCGCTTAAAAGCTAGCGATCGTCATCCTGGTATACACGAGAGTGCATCGTTCGACTTTTCGACGCTACTATTAGACAGAGGTGCAAACAACTCGTCCGAGAACTTAAACCAGCATGCAATTAGATTTGGCCGTCAACAACGCAATATGCCATCACCATCGAGTATGCAATTTGAGGCCTCTACAAGCCCGCGATTGACCCCTCCACGCACTGGAGGGCCTCGTGTTCTGCGTTCTCAATCCGTCAGCACGTACGAGAATTCCAATGCGACTATATCGGCCTCTAATTCCGTTCGCAGTGTACGGGGTACGACAGAGATCATATCCGAAGCCGAAGAGGTTGATGTGCCGCTGATTCATTTAACCGAGGCAGAGCGGGAGGAGAATCTCCTTCAGGCCGTGTGCTTTGTTGAGGACGCGCTGAATGGCCGAAACTTTTATCACCGGATCGACGAGTTTGGGCTGAAGTGGTACTACAGGATTTACTATCACTCTTATATAACTGCACTGGTGCGACTGTGCTCGATCGTGTACCTTCTTGTAGCTTTGATGGAGAAATCACATCCTACCCTGGCCCTCATCATCGATCAAGTGATCATTTGTGTCATCGCAGCCTATACCATTCTAAAGTACTTTCTTTGCGGTAATGCGAAGTTTTTTTTTCGCCACTGGGACATAGTCTGCAGTTTAGCCATTATGTTATCAGAGGTAAGATTGAAACCAACCAAATCAATAGCTCTCCCTTTCATTTGGCTGGCCATGGCGGAAGTTGCCATAATATCTTAAGCTCGTCCGGTTGTCACTTACCTTTTTTGTAAGGATCGTTAGTTTAACAAATGTTTATATATCATTTACAGATGGAGTTGATTGTTGAGATGATGGGATATGCTTCCGCTACTGACTTTCGCATACGACGATACATGAAACCGGTGTTCTTTGTCTGTTTCTCCTCGTGGCTAAAAGCAACGATAAAGAATGTTGCCCGGACAGCCATCAAGTATGCACGGAACAGCAAATCACAGCATGAAATGGGTTTATAAATTTGTTCCGTTGTATATCGTAAACATCCTTGTGACTCCTGCCCGACCCTAGTTTCCATATTTGTTGGACGAACCCGATTTTTAGGCTTTTTTTCCTGATCACTCACAGAGTGCTGCCGCTACTGGGGATTCTGGCGTACTTCATATTGTTCATGGCTGTTCTCGGGCTGATACTATTCTCAGGTGTGAATTTTGTGTCTCACAAGTTGCGTACGCTCTGAATTCAGTATCTGTTCTTTATCAAATCTGCTCCGCTCCTACCCGTTGACTCAAGTATTTCACCACAAATATTATATTTGTTCTTACGCCTGAAATCAAATATAAGCGTATATTTTTGCTTCACTTATACAGGAATACCTGAGGGCAAAGAGAGCTTCTCCAATCCTCTCAACGCCACAATGTCTCTGGTGGTGCTTCTCACAACCGCCAACCATCCCGATGTGATGATGCCCTTCTACTCCATCAACGGCTACTACGCGACCTTCTTTGTCGTTTTCCTGCTGATTGCCACTTTCTTCCTTTTGAATATCGCCACCGCTCACATGTACTACCACTTCCGAGGGTTTCTCAAATCGTCTCTATCCAATCGACGTTTGCGACACCATGCTGGTATCAGAGCGGCCTTCGAGTTGCTCGACATGCTGTCTCCTGAACTCAAAGACGCCGTGGATGTAGGAACAGTGCACAAGTTTGTGTGTAGGGTATCTGAATTGCAACAGTATCAACCATTTATCCTGCAGATGCTGGACTCGCATGTTGGCGAATCGGTCAACTTTGACGAGTTCTATATCTTAACCAACATACCACGCCAACTCAGCGTGGAGGTGATTACACCCAAACATCCACGCCCATGGGGGTATAACGAATTCTCCTTCAAATTGCTGGACATTGTGCGGAGTCCCATATTCGGCATTGTGCAAGACATTATGATGTTCTTAGGCTGCGCTTGGAGTATCCTGTCTGTCTTCAACTCTCTCAATATTCTCAACGTGGATGTCCATTTCCACATAGCAAGTTTGTTTCTTGTCAGCTTCTATCCCATGGAGATCCTCATACTCGTAGTCGGATATGGTAAGTTCTTTTACCGTTGATCGCTGCTTATTCTTTGCAGCGCCGCAAAATACTCTCACAATTACATCGTCGCGCTACGGGGCTAACCTATAGCTGGCCTGTCTCCTTGATAGGTCCCCTGCATCGCGTGTCATGCCAGATTGGTACATACGTTGCGTGATATAATAGATTGATTCATACATCATATACATATCCACTAGGTCCTAAGTATTACTTCCTGCGCAACCGGTGGCACATGTGGGATTCGCTGCTGGCTGTGCTATTCTTGGTGGTGCGTGTAGGGCTCGTATCCTTGTTCGTAGCTTCAAATCCAGAGCATGCGGACTTCCGATGGCAGCTCTTCTGTCTTTTACTGTTCGGATGGCAGTCCCTACGTATCTGTCGGCAGGTAGGAACCAGTATCAATATACAATATAGGAAAGCAAGTTTACACACTTGCACGCCTGCCTTATGAAATCGAAGCCATTTTCGAGTACTTTCCGAAATTGATGCAATTAAAAGTGACGAATTATATACGGTAGATGCCGATACCAGTATGATTTCACTACAGGCAGGCCATATATAAGTGTGTCCCGCGACTTCATGCCAAGATGTCCAGACGCAATAGTGCCGTGCTCCTTGCCGTCCATAAGGATGTACAAAATTTTCTCATTCTGTTTTGCTCACTCTCGCTTCACATTCTCATATTAACAGGTGCCAGTACTGAGAATCTACTTTGGTGTAATCTCCAATATCATGCAGTCCTTGCTCAGCAACGACACCGCCCTATTCTCGTACGTGCTGCTCTTTTTCTACGGTTTTGCCGCACTTGGACATGACCTTTTTGCAGGCTCCGTAACCCACGATAACCCTTTGGTCGCCAACACCGAATATGCTCGATTGGACTACTGGGCGAATAATTTTGATGATATTCCCACTTCGATGATGGTATGTTGTTGGTATAGGTCTAAAGTAAAGTTCAATGGTTACTTCTATTTTTCTGATTGTTTGAGTAGTAGAGAGTTAATGCTGAAAATCATTTTTGTTTAAATGACCAGGCACAATCGTATCATTCTAGTGGTAACGAGCGTTCAATATCTCCCGGAAACAGCAGTTGACGAAAACCGATTATGATTTCATTCTTGCACTATCCTTAGACTCTGTGGGAGCTCATGGTCGTGAACAACTGGTTTATTATCATGGAAGCATACGTGGCAGCAAACTCACAATGGTATGGTGTGCCGCTCGAACCAAAACTTCGCGTGACTGCACTTCTGTAGCCACTTGCCAACTTCTCATTCTACTGCAAACCTTGTCTCCCCATTTACTGCACGGTTGGGTTGGACGTCCCCATTTCTTGATCTGAGGCGCGACTCCCTTTTTTTATTAAAACGACTTACTGATCTATTATTCCATTCGTGTTCCTAGGGCGCGTGTCTATTTTATTGCGTGGTACGTCGTCAGCGTAATCTTGATATTCAACTTACTTGTGGCATTCATCTTGGATACCTTCATAGTAAAATGGGTAAGTGTTTTACGTGGCGATGAGTATTTGAATACAATACCTGTGAATATGATTTATGGACATCTGTTGTTGCTGATGGTATCTTAGCTGCAGAATTTCCCGTTCTCCTCGATGGCCACTAATTTCTTGTTGTACTACTTTTTTTTTTAAGGATCAAATTCTTCGCAAAACGAAGGAAGGGAGTGAAAAGAGAGGCTTGATCCGTTCCGTGTCTTCAATAAATGGAAGTCCCTGTCACTTCAAATTTGGGTAGGCCTTTTTATGCTAAACAGGTCCTTTGAATCGCTTATTAGTATAGATGGCTTAGTCTCTGAGGAGAACAAATGGTTCCTCTCGCTTACACTAAACGTGACCGGTAGTGCAGCTATTCAGTATCAATGCAGTCCTGCACGTCAGATAGTAAAATTCAGCTATGACCATTGTTATGAACTTCTATGTAGGACAGGTGTATACACAATAATACATCCCATACGATCCACCCCTGTCAATCCCATTTTTTTCTTCAAATTGCGATGCAGATACGTTCCGCATAATAAACAAATATATTGAATATCGTCATACGCTCAGGACAACCGAGACACACTATCTGCGACGACGAGAAGATTATAACTACACAATACAGTCAGATGATCCATTTGGCAGTGAGAATAATGATCCGACGGAACGCAGGGTAGGACTACAGCCTGATTTAGCTCCTCGCTACTTTGTGTCTGATGTATGCTATTACAACTCGAGTGTATTCATATCATCACTTCTTACTATACAATTATACAGATCATTGATATGCTTCGGCAGCACGAAGAGTTATGGATGAAGATTTCAGAAGTTGTATCATTCTTAGACGCGGACGATATACAAAATTGGGAGCGTAGAGAGGCCCATCGATTCTCAGATGTTGCTTTAGAGTAGTGCATAATTACACGATGTGATATATCTACTTACATATAATGCACATAATATATTTTTAGGGATATATTTTTAGGAATATATATATATATGTGTGTGTGTGTGTGTATGTGTGTGTGTGTGTCTATATGTATATATGTATATATGTATATATATATATATATATGTATATATATAAATATATATATATATTATATACTATATATATATATATACTATATATAATAAAATATATATGTGCGTGTGTTTGTGTACTCAAAAACGTATGTATATATACATATACACACTCATATATATATATATATGTATACCTATACACACTCAAACACTCAAACACATTATACACACTCATATATATATGTATGTATACCTATACACACTCAAACACGTATATATATATAAGAAAGTTATGTATATAGACATATATATAATAAAATTATATATATATATATAAATATATATATATATATATATACATATATATACGCTTACAGTAC